TGCAACCAAATTAAAGAATCCAATAAACCTTTGCCTTGCGAATTTGTGTCCAAAATTCCCAAATCTAGTCATAAACAAGTCAATATACTCAATACAAATCGTAGGAATTAATTCCATATGAATTTTAAAAAAAAATCCGGATTAAAATCTGAAATTCATCTCACAAATCACCAGTGGGCCCATGTCTCGAATCTCAGAAAAACTTACGAAATTCGAACACCCGTTCCGAGACGAGTCCAACCATATAAAAGTTATCGAATTCCGACATCGGATTGACTTTCAAATCTTCATTTTATATTTTTGGAAGATTTTATAAAAATCTGATTTTTCTTCCATAAATTCATGGATTCATGATGTAAATGAGTATGGAATCATGAAATATAATCAATATAGGATAAGAAACACTTACCCCAATATTTTCCCGTGAAAATCGCCCAAAAATCGCCTTACCCAAGCTCAAAATCTTGAATAATGAAAAATGGGACGAAATCTCATTTCCAGAACTTAAGTTTTGTTGTCCAGGGATGTCTTCTTCGCGAACGCATCACCCTCGCGTTCGCGAATCACATTTTGTGTTGCCCAATAATTCTTCTTCGCGAACGCGAGGGCAGTCTCGCGAATGCGATGCCTTGCCAAACTTGGCCTTCGCGAACGCGTCTCCCCTTCGCGAACGCGAAGCCTTATCGCCTGGTGCCTGGCCAGGCCTCGCCCTTCTATGCGAACGCGAACACTCTCACGCGTTCGCGATGAACACTGTCCTTTACCCCTTCGCGAACGCAGTCCCCTCTTCGCGAACGCGAAGAGTAAATTTTGCCTACCTCCAGTTCCTCTTCGCGAACGCGAAGAAGGAAACCAGACAATGCATTAGAAAATTTCCAGCAAAGTTTCAAGTCCAAAATTCCACCCGTTAACTATCTAAAACTCACCCGAGGCCCCTAGACCTCAACCAAATACATCACCAAGTCCTAAAATATCAGATGAACTTACTCGGGGTCTCAAATCATATCAAACAACACAGAAATTACAATTCACACCTCGATTCGGACTTTTGATTTTTAAACTTTTCAATTTGCAAAACTCGTGCCAAAATATATTAAACGAATCCGGAATGACTTCAAATTTGGCACACAAGTCATAAATTACATAACGGAGCTATTGCAATTTCTAGAATCAGATTCCGACCCCGATATCAAAAGGTCAAATTCGTGGTCAAACTTTTGGAAATCTTTAGCCTTTAAATTACTAGTTTCCATTAAATGGTCATAACTTGAGCTAGGGACCTCCAAATTAAATTTCGGGCATACGCCCAAGTCCCAAATCACGATACGGACCTATCAGAATTGTCAAAATACTGATCCGGATCCGTTTGCTAAAAATATTGACCAAAGTCAACTTAATTGAGTTTTAAGGCTCTATTTCATATTTTAATCTATTTTTCACATAAAAACTTTTCGAAAAATTATGCGGACTGTGCACATAAGTCGAGGAATGATGAATAGTACTTTTCGAGGTCTTAGAACATAAAAATAATTATTAAATTTAAAGATGACCTTTTGGGTCATCACAACATGGGGTCGGTTGTACTCATACTATACTTCTGCACCTTGCGTGCAGATTTCTGATGCTGATGTAGCTGTGTACGATGAGGGCTGGATCTGAAGATGTACCTGCATTTCAGTCATTGCTTCTTCTTGTTCATGGTAGCTTTAGAATTTTTAATCTGTTCATGTATATTTCAGAAAGATGACGTATTTTTATTTCACACCAGTTTTGTAAATTCTAATCTTAGAAGCTCATGATTTGTACTACTAGTCCTTGGGGAGTCTATTAAAGTCAGTTAAATATTAATTGAATCGGATTGTTGTTATTTGGCTTACCTAGCGGGTGAGGTTAGGTGTCATCACGGCTAGTTAGATTTTGGGTCGCGACACTACGTTACAAAACTTCAGCATGTTTTGGTATGAAATTCTACCAAATGAACTAAATAATTTCAGCATGCATTAGCATGTGCTAATCGTATACTATACATGAGTATTTTTGTGCATTTTTAATCGTAAAACATAACAAACATATTTAATATAGTAATTATTTTGCGTTGGGGTATGTGTTAGTGTAATAATTACATTAATGTGACATTCATGCACCCTTTACACTAGATGTTCAAAAAAATCCTTTATGCCTTTTCATTTATAATGCAGAAGTTGTTTCCTCCTATATAAGTACGCTATGCGTTGTGAGTTTATTCACTCAAACACATATATTTTTAGTAGATAATAAACAAAAGGCATAAAAAACGATGTTGTCATCAGGCAAATCATTGACGAAATAAAATAAGATATCATAGAGGCATTCGAGTTGAAACTCGATGAGTTCATAGACAAGTATGAAAGGGATTTGGGAGAAATCAAGACCAAGCTCGACAGGCTCGAGATCTTGCCCAAAGATGGCTCCTATGATTAGTCTTGGAGCCGCTCGTGGGTCTAACGATGATGACCACGACGATGGAATGGATGTTTAGTTTTTTTTTTTTTGTATAATCCTTTTATTTAAAGGGTTGTTATATTATTTTTAGTTTTAAGTAATTTCTTTATTTAATTTTAATTTCTATTAATTTAGTTTAGTGAAATATTATATATTTTTGTTTTAATCTTTTTGTGTGTTATTTTTTTATATTAATTCTCTTTAAACTCAGAAAATAACATAAGGAAAACATAATTTTTCCTTCAGCATAATACTACAAAACTTCAGCATGTTTTGGTATGAAACTTTAGGAAATGAACTAAATAACTTCAGCATACATTAACAAAAATTTATTAGAAAATTATATACTACAGGACAAAAACTTAAGCATGTTTAGTCTGAAATTTTAGCAAATGAACAAAAAAACTTCAGCATATTGTAGACTGCTTTAGAAAACTTCAGCAATTGTTCGTATGAAGTTTTATCAAATGTACTAAATAACTTTAGCATCCATTAGCCTGAACGTTTAGCTTTAACGTGTGGCATGGAGTTTTAGCTTTAATGTAGTTTTAGCTAAATTGTAATTTCTATTAATGTAGTTTAATGAAATATTATATGTTTTTGTTTTAATATTTTTGTGTGTTATTTTTTTATATTAATTCCCTTCAAATAACAGAAGTAAAAACATAATTTTTCCTTCAGTATAATACTACAAAACTTCAGCATGTTTTGGTATGAAGTTTGAGCAAATGAACTAAATAATTTCAGCATGCATTAGCAAAAATTAATTAGAAAATTACATACTGCAAGACAAAAACTTAAGAATGTTTATCCTGAAGTTTTAGCAAATGAACTAAAAAACTTCAGTTTGTTTAGACTGAAGTTTCGGATAAAACTCATGACAAGACTGTAGACTGCAGGACAAAATTTCAGCATGCTTTAGTATGAAATTTTAGCAAATGAACTAAAAAACTTCAGTTTGTTTAGACTGAAGTTTCGGATAAAACTCATGACAAGACTGTAGACTGCAGGACAAAATTTCAGCATGCTTTAGTATGAAATTTTAGCAAATGAACTAAATAACTTCAGCATGCATTAGCAAAAATTCTTTAGAAAATTACATATTGCAGGACAATAACTTAAGCATGTTTAGTTTGAAGTTTTAGCAAATGAACTAAAACACTTCAGCATACTGTAGACTGCTTGACAAAACTTCAGCAAGTGTTGGTATGAAATTTTATCAAATGAACTAAATAACTTCAGTATCCATTAGAATGAAGTTTTAGCTTCAACGTGAAATAACTTCACGCTACATTAGCATGAAGTTTTAGCTTTAACGTGAAACAACTTCATGCTACATTAGAATGAAGTTTTAGCTTCAACGTGAAATAACTTCACGCTACATTAGCATGAAGTTTTAGCTTTAACGTGAAACAACTTCATGCTACATTAGAATGAAGTTTTAGCTTCAACGTGAAATAACTTCACGCTACATTAGCATGAAGTTTTAGCTTTAACGTGAAACAACTTCATGCTACATTAGAATGAAGTTTTAGCTTCAACGTGAAATAACTTCACGCTACATTAGCATGAAGTTTTAGCTTGTATTTGATTAAAAATTCAGACTTCAACGTGAAAAAACTTTATTTTATATCTTTCATGCATTAAATTTGAAGTTTTGAAAAGTTTTTGAAGATCTATAAGTGAAAACTTCATGCTATATCCGTCAAACAACTTCATGCAAGTGTGATTAAATGAGCGTTAATTGAATTCTGATTTTTTAAGTTTAAAACTTAAAAGGATGATGAATTACAAAAATAATTCCAGAAACATTATCATGAAGGTCAATCAGTTTCACAAACTAATTCGAATTCTAAAGATGAATTGCAATACTTACAATGTATTTTGTAATTTTGAATTCGGAATATGAATCTAGTTTAACTTTCTGATTTTTTGATAAAGTTGGTGAGAGGAGAGGAGATTTGAGGAGGGACGGAGTGATGGAGGAGAATGCGATTAATGCGTGATGCAGCTTTTATATCTTTTGTCAGGAGTATAATTGTCATATTATTACGGATTTTTTGTTAGTTGGCTATCAAATCAATAATTTTTAAAAATATGGTACAGGTTAAAAGGTGACACAAAATATAGGGTACGACTGCAAATCTCTTGGGATTCGAACCTCAAAAAGGCTCAATATGAAGATTTTTAGCTCTTCTACTTAAAAAATAACAATTCCACCCCCAAGACCTCTCATTCGAGGTGAATAAACCTTTACCATTTTAACTATCACCTACACATAGCATCGGTAAACATCACTACCAACCTCTCTTCATTGCATAAAGAACAAATCTTCACATTCCCGGAAATATTTAGGACAAAACCAGCCAAGAAAACTGACATTTTACCTTTAAAAATGACTCCAAAACTGATCCTTAAGCAACCCCTTCAATAGTAAACTTTAGAATTATTTAATTACCCGATTTGTGAAAAAGCACCTTAGACAAATAGTAAAACAACCAAGAAGAAGAAACAAAAATATGGAAAGTGAATGTTTTCCAAGAAAACTGCGTTATGATATTAGTATGTCAAAAAGAACAAGAAAATCACCAGTGAATATCAAAGAAGAAGCTATCAAAAGCCCCCAGCACCCTCAACAATTGATCAATTCAGTGGAAAGCAGAGAAGATGTGAATGTAGAAGAAAAAGGGGTAATTAGTAATGAAGAGGAAGAAGAAGATCAGAAGAAGAGTTTGAAGCAGCTGATTGAAGGCAGAGGAACTTCTTTGGGGCACCATTTTACCGAAGAAGAAAAGCAACTTCAGTTGGTAGTGAAACAGCCAGAAGGAAGTTTGATGAATGGATTGAAATTCAAGCAAATGGTGAGTCGTTATACCAAAGTTTTAAGTCACATGATTAAGCTCAAGAGAAAGAAGCCTGCATCTTTCGGATTGAAAATGCAGGTCCATAATAAGCCTACATCTTGAGTTTTATAGGTCAATTGAATATTCCTCGAGCTCTTTTCTATTTGTAAAAAAGAGCCACTCACCACCTGCACAAGCACAACAACAGTGTGTGTGTGTGTGTATGTATGTATGTGTACCTTCTCTACTTCAATTTAAGCTCTTATACATGCATCTCAATAATTACAAGACAAGCACAGATTTATGACGGATAAATTGATCAACGTTGTATTGCTGTCTCTGTTTTGATGAATATTTGTCACGATCCAAAGCTGAAACAGGCATTCAACGGGCTTGATTCTACCAACTGAACCATCTTGACGAGGCTATCTTCAGCAAAGTTAAACTCATTTCATAAATCACATCTCACAAATAAGGCTTAGGCATGCTAAAGCAAACACAAACATAACATAAACATACTTTAAATTAATATCTGAAATTCTCAATATATTACTCAACATAGGACCTGTACATGGAACAAATTATACTCTAGATCTAGTAGTGTCTTTTATTTCTACATTGCACACTAATACTCCTAAAGATTCATTTTGTTTCAAATTTTAACGAGACTATACTGTCAATGCAACCAAAATATACAGACACAAGAGGTTCATCTTTAGACACTGCAGTGTCCTCATTGGATGTGGTGTTCAAAAAAAAAGGAAACTTCCTTCTCTGGCAAAATTGGGTTATCATTTAGACACAACGTTATCCTAATAGGAAAGGACACTTCATTTTTTCCATAGCATCCTCATTTTGCAGATGCAGGTGTCTCTGGTGTATCAAAGTTTAGCTTAGTTGCTTCGTAGAGGTGGGAAAAAAAATGGAAACTTGGAACTTCACTACTGCAAAAAGTTAGCTTCAGTTTTTCTCTGAGTAGCACTACATCACCATTTAAACTTCAATTTGCATCGGTTAATTCGAGGTTAACACAATGATTCTTTTTATTCAAAGTTACATGCAGAGCTTTTGGAACAGAGGTAGTATTATGTTTGTGGATTAATAATGGTGAAGAAAATGAGAGAAAAGAAGGGGTAAAGAAGAAGGAGAAGGCTGAAAGGAGTCTATGGTACTCATGTCAAAGAGAAAGAAGAAAAGAAAAAGAAAAAGAAAAATCAAAACAAAAAGCGGTATTAAAATCGTTTCGATCGCAAAGTTTTAAGTATTCTTCTGAAAAAACTGGTCAAGTCCAAGCTAAGGGGGAAACTATGTATTAGCCCTATTTTAAAACGTAAGTATCATTAACTCACATTCCGAAAACTGATTTTTTCCTTGGAAGAAGTCAAATTATGTCATCGTTTGTGAAAAAATAAGGGTTAGTTTAATGGAGCTTACGAGCAATTGGGGTACTTAAGAGGTTTGTAAGCAGCAGAAAATGATTTGTTGCTACCAAATTCAGTCTTCTCCTTGGAGGAAGCATTCGCCCCGTTACAGCTTTTCCTGGAATGGAGTAAATTATTTAAAATATATCTACATCCACATTAATTTATTACTATTCAATTGAAACAACTTCCTCAAACACTGCATTATTTATTATTTCCTCTGTTTTATTCCATATGATACACTTTTTTTGAATTCGTTAGAGAAAGACTGACACATTATATTTTATATTTTTCTATTTTGGTGTTAATTTGTTCGTGAAGCATTATTCGAATTCTTGCAAAAGGAATAAGAAATTTACATGGCATATTTAAGACAACTAGATAAAAATGGTGCTTTTGGTATGTTTTATACATTTAATTTATGTGTCAAAGATTTGTTTTTCCTTCAAATTTGCGGCCGCTGAAATTACTTCCATATAAAATGAAGTGGAAGATTTATTTGAGTTAGTCAATAAATTAAAAATAAATTGCGCAAACATAGTAATTAAAGAAAAGTACAATCACTTCCTTCCTTATTGTATCAGTTAACTTCTAAATTTCTTATTTAGAGACTTAGTAGTTAGTACAACTATACTCACGGTTTTGACCTTATTCCAAAGATATATCCCTATACTTGGACGTTATTGGGAGCTATTGCTATAATTCCCCTTTTTCTCCGTATCTAATTATTATTATTATTATTATTATTATTAGCCACATATGATGCATTAACTAATAACTAATTCAGCCATATGGCATAATCAAAAAAAGCCATATATAATTTATTTCTGAATTAATTAATAATAAATAACTAAATCAAAATATTGGAAATTTTAATAAAATATCTATCCATATTTTTAAAAATAAATCTGGAAAAAAAATTCCAACGATCTTATTTTATTATAAATTTCAAATCATTGTTAACCATCCAAAAGGAGTACTTTTCAGCAGTTGATTTCTATATTTTCGGCGGTTCTTCAAAAAATAATTATAGACTAATTCCAAAAAATTGGAGTTTTAAAATTATTTTATAATAAAAAACGGAAAAAAACAAAAACAAACAGCCCATTCAAATTACTAGTACATTATCTATAGATTTATTCACGTTCTAAAATTAGAAGAAAAATGCAAAAATAAGTTTAATTTGTAGCAGAGGATATAGTAATAGTTTTTTGGAACTCCAAATCCAAAGACCAGAATCTTCAAAATGGACTGTTTATTGCTATGTGGTTTTAAACTAAGACTGATTAAAATCTTTCTTATAATTTATCCAAAGCTGTGAATTCATGATCTTATGAAGTGGAGTTTCCTTTCATACTTAAAAGAATAAAATGTAAATTACCTTCCATTAGTTGGTTGAGTATCCCAATCAGTGCTTAATAACCTTTGTTGAGACGCTACAAAATTCTCACTTTCACAAAACTCCATGAACAAACTAGTCGATTTGTCATTGGAAGCTCTAAAGGAAGGCATATTTGTTCGATTCATGGTAATTATGGAGGAGTCATTGGTCTCCACAGCTCCACAAGTAATGAAGTTCCGAAAAATATTAAAAGCTCCACTGGAATTTCTCCTGCTCTTACTAAATGTTGAGTTATCCGAAGTAATTGTGGCACTATTGTTTTGTTCATTTTGATTCTGATAATCAACCTTCTTCTTTTCGGCCTCCTTGTTCGAAGAAGAATGATTCTCAAGTTTTTCACCATGTATGATTATGTTTTGTGAATGTTTATCTTCTTCATGCTTGGGAGAATCATTAGTCATTGGAGATGTATTAGAGCCAAAAGTTAGAAATTCTTCTACAACAATTGATGGGGTTCTTTTGCTTGATAAGTCCATATATGGCTGGATTATTTGACTTACTGGGGTTTAGGTTCTTGTTTTTCGAGAGGTGATGCCTTTTTATGTGGATTCTACTTTTTCACCACATGGAACATCTGAAAGGATATAAGTATTTACCAAGAATACCTAACTGAAGACTGAAGAGATTGACTTGAGTTTTTTTTTCCCCTCAAAAGAATGAACATTGATTGTTAAAGATTGACTAGAAATTTTCCATTTTTTAAATAAGAAAATGTCAGTCAATTCCTTTACCTTGCTATAGAACGTCAAATTTTCTTTTTAGAGGAAATCGTACACGGCAACCTTTATTTTGTATAAATGTAACCGAATTGAAATAATGTGATGGAGTATGCAGGTAATAACATGTAGTAGCAATTTATTCTCAGTCATGCTTTAAACATTAAGCCTCTTGCATTAGTAGACTAGCTTCTTTCTGATAAAGCTTGCCAATCTTACACTCCTTTTTTATGCTCGGTAGAGATATATATTCCCAACCAACCAGAGCTAAATGAGGACCTTACTTGAGATGCTCTTTTTCTTCCAAAGCAAAATAATCACTCCTCTAATTTATTTAGCTTCTAAAAGATTTGACAAACTTTCAAATCTTCAGAGAAACCAACACTATGGCTAAATTTTATTCAAATATGGTTGTACTAATAATGCTACTACAGTACCGATGCAAGTATTATTCTAAATTCATGTAATCATAAAAAAGATTGTGACATCACTTGCCATTAACAAGAAAATCTCTCTCTATGTGAGAGCAAGACCTCTTGTTGAATACAAGCCCTATTCTTTTCTTATCTAAGCCCTAGTTTTCACTTTATCTGATCTAGTAATACACGCAAATGAATTATGCTTCTCGACCCAATAGTGACACTACACCTCTGGAAGAGAGATACGCAGGGTTGAATATAAATGACGCGCCAGTCGAACTGGATTATGTTGATGATGAAGAAGTTGTTGTTATAATTATGTATTGCTGTAATAAACAATTAAACTTTCTGGAAAAATAAAACAGAAAGTTAGTAATACTTGTTTAACGAAATAAATTCTGGAAAAAACAGTAAAGGAATAAATCGAGTCCACTGAATACACAGTGTGTCCTTAAGGAAATTATTCCCCTCAAGTACCCGAAGTGCTGGAATATATCCTCCCAGGATAGAACGATTTAACTCACCGGAGTGTTGGTATCAAAACGCCGGTGAACAGCGAGCCACTCGAAAGCTGTAAAACACACTGGAATTTTTATGCAGAAGAAGAAGAAGAAGCTCAGAAAATTTCGTAAGGAAAGATTCTAGGATTCAAACTCTATTTATAGAATTACTGGCATTGTTTCTGATAAAATAAACCGGGGAAGAAAACGGACCTGACCGAACCGGGTCGCGGGTCATGGGTTATTCCGGATTGAATTTTTCGTTAATTATTTAATTAATTAATTAAATAATTAAAAGAAATTTTATCCAAAAAAGATTAATCAATCAATCTTTGACCAAATCCGAAGCCGAAGCCGAAGCCGAGCCGAACAAGCGACGACGACGACGGCGCGAGGCTAGCCTTCTTCTTAACTCTTTAAGAGCTAGAAGAAGAGCAATTATATATATACCCATCAAAAGCCTTTTCTTCCTCCGATATGGGACAATGTCCCTTTGCCAAAAGAAACTCAAATATTTCATTTTCCCTCCATTTCTCATTCACCCTCTTTAAGCTACACAAGCTTAAAATCTCAACAATCCCCCACATGAATGGGGAATGGCTATAAAATAAAGGAATGCGCGGACGCGTGTGTGTTTTACATGCAAGAATTAATTGCATCTGGATAAGTAGGTTTCCCTTTGAACTTTCCGTAGTGAACTTATATCGGATATACTCGGCCAATCGGTAGATTTGATATCTTTGAACCGTCGAGCTTTGTTGTATACCTAGACAACATAAGTCACACAATCAATCCTTAACCATCTATGGTTCTCACGGTTGTGTTCGTTTCAGCCATGAACACCGTCTGGTTTCATGAGTGCTTAGAGAATGGGCCTTTGCTTTCATTCCCCTTGAAGCGGCTTATACTTCACACTCACATAGGTGATTTCTAAACGTGTAATCCTATAGACACACTATCTGGTCATATCCTGCCAGACTTAGCAAATCATTAAAAAACCTTTAAGCTTTGTTGACTCATCAAAAAGCCTTAATGCTTTACCTCGATTTCTGAACATTGTCTTCATTACAAGAATGGGTTGAGTTATTTGACAATGTTGAAACGCCATTCATAACTTTGTTTGATCTCTTTGAACCTAGCTCGTGGGATCTCCAGTCGGCTAGGTAGAGTTACCGTCATGATGACTTATCTTAGACCTTAACCCCATTCCCTTTGATGATCTTTCAACTGCCTTTCTAGATAGATCTTTTGTAAGTGGATCCGACACGTTATCTCTTGACTTTATGTAGTCAATTGTGATAACACCACTAGAGAGTAGTTGTCTAACGGTATTGTGTCTCCGTCGTATATGACGAGATTTTCCGTTATACATAA